ATATATTTTAAAAATAATGAAAACCAAACAAGGACATATTAAAAATGAGTGAATATTCAATTATGTCTTCTTCTTCGTCTGTACATAATTTTGTGATAGAGAGACCCAACGTATTATAAACATGGGGGTATTGGGTAATTGGGTAATTGGGTTGAATTGAATGGTATTGGGCTAATGGGCTTCAGTTATGGGCATTAGTTTTAAAAAAAATTGGGCCATGCCTACACTGGACTTCATTGGGTTCTGCCCCTGTTTGTGAACTCCAATTCTCATGTTGGAAGGCCTGCACTGAACTTCATTGGGTTCTGCCCCTGTTTGTGAACTCCAATTCCCATGTCTTCCAATCTATCAATTCTTGGAAGCGTCGATAAGCCTTTCAATTTTGCTTACATATTCTATCTCTATATATCTGTTGCATGGATTATGGCCATAGTGGTGACAGTAAATGAAGAAGAAATTTATGGGATGAAAGCAATGGGAAAACCAGCAAAAATTGTTAAGGGAAACAGAGTAAATGGTTTCGTTTTGAACATTTTGTTGAATCTAGTATCTTTGGTTATATATTTAGGTAATTCTAAGATGATCGAAGGTAATAAATGGGTTTCTGGGTCAAACATTTTCCGGACTATTTCTGGTGAATTTTTCTTGTTTGATGAAGATCTTAACATTTGTGATACACGCAGTGTTTTGCTTTCAGTATAAGAAAGAAAATGGGGATGAAATTGAATTGCACGGGAATACAATGTATATGTGACAAAATGTCTACAACCGCTTTGGTCAATGATGTACCTTGCGGATCCAAGGTTTTAAGTCAGCACGGACAACCGTTGGCCGTCGATAACAATAAAATATTAAGAGCTCATTTAATGTCCATTTTTGTAAAAAAAAAAATGCATTTTAAAATAGTGTTTAAAAATAAAGAAAAGTTTTGAATTTACGTGTAATATTATTTTATTAAAAATTGTGCAATTGAAAAGAAAAGAGAAAAATGTATTTTGATAAAAAAAATGGGAATCAAAGCCTAAAATTTAAATATAAAAATTATTTTGTTCAAATTGAACATATATAATTNTATATAAAAAAAAAATGGAAATCAAAACCTAAAATTTAAATATAAAAATTATTTTGTACAAATTGAACATATATAATTTTTTATACAAATTAAAAATACTCATCAAATGACATTGAGGCCAAGTTATAATTCAAATAAAGAGCTCGAGATTGAATTTTTACAATTGCATTAAAACTATTAAAACTTAATATATATTATTATGTTAAAAATAATATCAAATTCAACAAGTGCCCTAATGGTAAATATTCCAATAATCTTTATAAATGGTTATGGGTTCAACTCCGCCCCCTCCCTATTACCATTAATTTTGGTAGAAATTGTAAAATGGTAAAAATTGGAGAACTAAAAATATATGAATTGCAAACTCGGGAATCAAACGAGACACTTCTCATTAGAATTGCAAGCTCTAACCAACTCAACTGAAAGAAGCATTTGAAAATGAAATGAAATAACAGTTATATATGCTAAAAAATTTATCTATTGTAAAATAAAATAAAAAGTTCCCGACGGATCCAGCATAGGCGGCCGCGGGGCTCGTCGGATGTTGGGTGTTCTCCTGTTTTCAATCACACATTCTCCTATAAAATAATTATACACGTATTTTAAAAAAAAAAACCTTACTTTTTAACCACATATTCTCCAAAAATCCACTATTCCATATTGCATTTTGCCCCAAAAATGAGGATCAAACAAGGCTTGGTATCCAACTAGATGTTTTGTATAAAACTTTTTTTTTTTTTTGAATGAAAAGAGCAATCCATTAAAAACGCACAAAGCGGAACCTCCAACACATCGCCCTCCTAGGAGAGATTAAGTGCAACCCAAGTGCAACAAAACAAAAACAACTATACAAGACACAACTACAAATAGAACAGACCATGAAAACAAACACGACCCGACAACAGACACAGCCAATAAAAGTCTAAAAACATCTGTGACTTTACAGTATAAGAGAAACACCCCCGCGCACCATGAACGGGCATTGTCTAGACTTCACACCAGCGAACCATAACAACACAAACAGAACAAACATCACAACACAAACCAAACAACACAACAACAAAGACAACCACAAAACAACCAACAAACCTACACCACCAAAACAATACACACACAGCACACCCCCGATCGCCACCCTACGGCCAACGCTGGAACCCAGCCAAAAAGGCCCACCAGCGAAACCCAGCAGTAGAATTCCTTCGCCAACTCCGACCACTTGAGACCTCAAACCGACTAAACGCACGCCCCTCTCACAGTCCAAAGCACCACGAGAACAACCACCCAGGCCACCAGTCCAAACCACCACACCGCCCAAGCCAGCCTGCAAACCACAGGCATCAGAACCAGCCGAAGACACCTCCCAACATAACAGACACCGAATAAATACACCACCAAACGACTCCCACCACAAACCACCAGAACCGGCCCAAAACGTAGCAACCCACCGGCAGAAGCTTAATGCCAATACACTGACAAAATCACCATCCTACAAACGCCGGCCACCACCTACAACCACAACCCTAAAACCAAGAAAACAGAAAAAAACTGAAAAGGGGAGGGGAGAGCCAAAAGCTCCCACCCCCCGGCGAAACACAAAAAGGGCCGATCAAAACCAGGGTCAAGAGAGGCGAGGAAACATTAGTGAAAAGAAACCAACGCCACAACCAGCAATCTCACGGGAAAATTGGTAGGGTAAGTGGAGAAAGGGGTAAAGGAAAAGGGGAAGAAACCTTCACAAAGGAAGGAGCCAACCTTTACTGAGGAAACCGAAGGAAGGGGGGAAAAACCCTCACCGGCAGAGGAGGGGAGAAGAACATTCACAAAGAGGAAGGACTAATTGCATTTTCTTTTAGCTTAGAAAATTTTTGTATAAAACTTTTATGCGATCATTTTAAAAGTTAAAATTTGTGTTGAAGCGTATCATTTTACAAGGGTGATATCTGTCTTTTGTTGGAGGATACCCAAAAAAATGGTAACTTTTGTTTAAAATCTACAAGTTGCAAATTAAAAGAGATTCTAAAATTTTTTTACGGCCAAATTAGTGCTATTTCTGTCATTTTGTTAACTATTCTGACCCATAGTATAGTCCAAAACTTAAAGATGAGATATGCTACATGTACATAATTTGGATTACCTAAAGGTGTCCACCCTCTCACATGGGACGGACCCCACATAAATAATTTTTTTTTATTCATGTGGGGTCCACCCCATGTG